AAAATCTCTGTAGATGTTCATTGAAATGAAAAATAAACAACCTAAATTTAAAAAAAAAGGAGAAACATATTTTGTACACCTATGTTCACAGCAGTGTTATTCACAATAGCAAAAAAATGGAAACAGTTCAAATGTCCATCTACAAACAAGTGGACTGAGAAATTGTGATACATTCACACAATGGAATTACTATGCAGCACTAAGGAGCAATGATTTTGTAAAATATAACATGGGAGAGTCTAAAAAGCATTATGCTGAGCAAACTAACTCAGTCTCACAAGGAAAATTATTACTTAAGACCATTATTTAAAAAAAAAAAAGACCATTATTATAAAAACAAAAGGATAACTAGTAAGGTGTGTATATAAGTCCAAAAGGCGACGAGATGGGAGACAAGAAGGCAAAATATGGGGTGGGGGGAAATCACTAGGACAACTAAGCTGGTAGGCAGATGGGCGAAGGATGAGTGGGTAATGGTGAAGGTATGGGAAAGATCCAATTTGGACCTGAAAAGATGAGGTACTAGTAGGCATAGGTCAGTGATGATTGGGTTTTATAAAACACGGTGTACAGTGCATCTAAATTTCAAAATCAATCTCCACAATAGTCTACGTGTTTCCTATTGCCAAAGGGGCCCTTTAGAGTGAGAGAAGATCTTCAGCCTGAAACCTACAGCGTCCCTTTTCAGCAGGAAGTAGCTAAGAGAATACCCTTTTCCTTATGAATCAGTGTGAAATCTCGCTCAGGGAGGAGAGACAGGGAATGGCAAAGGACACACTGACAAAGGAGATTAATCAGAACTGGTTTCGACAAGCACTGTGGCAATGGGTCAATTAAAACAAACTTTTCAAGGAATATTCAACCTGAATCCTTCTGATCATATGGAGATTTTTTAAAGTATTTCTTTTGAGTTTATTATGTTTAATTTGTTTTGTTTATTTGTGTATAAAGGATGCCCATCTAGATGATAACATAATTATGATAAAAACAAAAGGGGGGAAATATGGGAAGCCAATAATAAATATTTGTAATAAACTAAATGCTATTTAAATAAAATTAAAAAACAACAAAACACCATGTATATAAATGAGTGTATGAAACAATGTGAGTGAAGGAATGTGTGAAACACAACACATATGAATTCATATAAAATTTTTTTTAAAAAAATTTAAAAATGAGAAAAAAAAATTCTTTTAGAGGCAAGAACTACTAAGCCCCTAGAAGTTTTAAACACAGATTTCATTCCATTTGTCATTTGATTTCTGTTCCTCAGCACCTTGGAGTGGTCCTTGACAGCAGTTTTCATAATGCTACCCGTCTTTTGATTTCCTGTCTGCTAGTACCAAGAGTGTTGACTGTGGATTCAATTAAGATCAAATCCTTAAAAAAGGTAATCTTTTCTCCATCTATTTCTGATGTTGCCTGGTGGCCCAGTGGTGAGTAATTTTGTTTTCATAATGCTGAGATGTAGAAATATGCCTCCTTTTGAAATAATCTATTACTTCCTACAACAGAGGGAATACATGTCCCAGTGAGGCCTAAAGGACTATGTTTCTGGTACCTTCAAATAACCTTAGAGGGAGAAGGGAACTTCTCAGCACCTACTAAGATCTTCCTGGGAGCACAAATAGCAGCCTTTCTAGTATCTTTGTATTGGAATTATCTAGTTGATCTATGATATGCTGCAGAGAAATGAATCCAGACATTAAAGACTAGATTTCAAACTCACCGAAAATAAAGAGTAATGAAAAAGAAAAAGATAAGACATCATCTGTATAGATTTATATGTTGACTTTTCCAGTCACCAACATGAATTTTCCTCAAGTGAAGGGAGGAAAAAAGAATCAGGTAGAAAGGTGACAATGAGAAAGTAGAAATAAACCTTGTTCATAAATGCCGTGTGCTGTTGAAGAGGCTTATAAAAACTAGGAACTGAAAAACCCAGAGTCATGGGCTAGCATTTAAATCCTTAATAACAATTATGAAAGAAACATTAACCTAAATGAAAGAATAAAATCCACTTACTTTGTCAACACCCATCCTTTTAAATCCTGCTTGTAGAATTTTGAAGTTCTGGATGTATTCATGTTCTAGCTTAGCTTGGAATTTCACTTTCTTCAAGGCAATGGAACCTGGAAACAGCATGTCCATAAACTGACAATAAGCAGCCCCTGGATAAACAACAACAAAAGAATAAGACTAAAAGTAGGTCATTTCATTCTACTATTAGAGTTACGCAACCTAAGTACAAATTTAAAAGTTGGAAAGAAAACTCAGAAGCTTCATTACAACTTGACATCAGGAGATTGCCCATGAAGCAATATAAGCACATGTCTAGGGCATCAATAAAACAGGGGCACTAGAGGTTCAAAGCACATACATGACAAGCAGCCAGGACACAAGAGAATAAAACAGTAAATCTAAGTTAACTGGCAGAAAATGGGGAAAAAAAAAGATACCAGCTCCAGTACATGGGAATGTGTCATCCGGAAATAAAGTTCAAAAGGTCCCAAGGCTGTTTCAGACTACTTCACCACCTTCACAATCATCAACTGTTATGGTCCTCTCTTGTGTAATTTAAACTCCTTATCCTTGTGAGACTCTTGAGAATATACTACTCTCTAACAAGATGTAGGAATGAAGTGTTGAATCTAACTCTTGCTACATTCACCTGATGTGCAACTAAATCCAATATAAGTGCTTACTGAGCAAGGGTGGATTATAGTAACAGGTAACAGATCTGACTGATTTTGAAAGAATTATTTTGTACATCCATTATGTTGATGCAGCAGCTCCAGTAAGGAGTAACAACAAGGCTCTTTGCCATGCAACAAACACAAGAGTACGCTCTTGCAAACAACCTGGCAAATAACCAGTGGTAACTCAGTCCCAGAAGATGTACAAGGGAACTTAAATAAGTTAATCAACTCAATCAAGTTACTATTTAACTGTATAGTATCCTTATGTCCTAAGTTTCTGCAAATAATAAAACTGAGAACGTTTAAATATGTTTGGTCTACATGTTAGCACAAACTATCATTATTTCTTGTCATGCTTGCAAGCACAAACTATCCTTATTTCATATAACTCTAACAAGGATAATAATTTAATGCTAATTAGCAAACATTCAAAAATACTAGAAACACTAATATTTATCTAACATGAAAGTTTTCATTTCTGCATCAAGTGAATTTCACTTTTTATTGTATATTAATTCCAACTGGTAACACTGTGTATTAAAAAAAGGCATTAGGTATATTAAAAAGGCACAAGATTAATTTCTTATTATGCAAAGTTACTTTTGCAACAATAAGTGTGTTTCTAAATTCATCTTCCAAGAAAACAACAAAGGGCATTTATCAAACATTACAATGAAGGAGTTGAAAATTAATGGAGAGACAATGAACATTTTATTGAAATGAGTGAAGGGAAAGGCAGTGAGGAATGAATGGATAATCTGACATTGTTTGGATTTTAATTAACATTATGGAACAAATAATATATGAAAGACTGAAGAAAAAAAAGTCCAAACCAATACTTTATAAACTCTTTCACAAACCATAAT